ACACTCAGAGGGCAGACATGGCTCAGAGAAGAACCAGGTGGGGATTTTGACCTCAGACCTGGGAGCTTTCGAGGGATCCTGTATTCCAGACACCTCCCTCCTCAGGGTGGTTTCTCCAGGATCAGGTCTCCTTCTGTGAGCTGTGTCTCTTCCCAGGTGACTTTTGTGCCTCCGTCTTAGTTTCTGGATCTCTCTTATCTCTGTCCTCACTCCAAGATGGCTCTGTCTTCTGGGACAGGAGAAGAGGCTTACAAGGACCTCATAATCTCGGATATCCCTGCAATAAAGATAGATGAAGGCTGAGTTCCTGGCCTTGGAGCTTCTTCACTGAGCATTCATGACACGTGGCCACTCATTTGTCCAGAGGCAACAAGAGGCCCCCACTGGGAGCACTGAGCAGCTTGCACTCTGGCAGTTGGAGAATGAGCTCTGAGTCCTGAAGGGTTGAGGCTGCAGCACTGCATTTTTGAAGAGGTGGGACCACAGCACCTCATAGCCTACTGGACTTGCCTAAAGACAGAGATAGGTCAGTCAGCACCCTTAGACTGAAGATATGTTCAACCTCTTGGCCTCTCTGGGCAACACTGGACAAAGAAAAAGTTGTCTCAGGTTATATGTTTAGATTTCAATGACGTCCAGTTCACAGCAGGCAGGTTTTGAGAACATACATATGCTTATTTTGTGGACACTGAAACAGAGTTTATAACTGAGTAGTGCATCGTCAATCTTTTAAAAAAAAGTGAGATGTTTTAAGTAAGTTGACAACTATGTTGGTTTACATCCATAGGTTTTCTGGGCTGCATAAACACGTGGGATATATACTGAATGTCCCTGCAAGCTTTATGCAACTAGTCTGTGTGTTGGGAAAGATAAAAATGGGCAGGATCTCAGTGTGGGAGAGCACCAAGGGATGATGTGGGCCTCAACCACCAGGCTGCAAGGCTGATGAGTGGAAGGCAGAAGGGACAGTTGCACAAGTGCCCAGAGCAGGAGAGTCCTGGCTTATTCCCCAGCTGAAGAAAGTCTTGGCATTTTTTCAGCCATGTAGGTTCCTCAGATACTCAGTACAAGGCTAGATATTTCCAGGGCACCGAGAAAGACAGCAAGAGCACAGGGTGCTTGTGTTCACTGTGAGTTATTGTTCTGTGGTGGAGCTGATAACCCATCTCAAAGTGCTTAAGCCTATCAGAAACTGGCGAGCTGCTAGAGTTAGGCAGTTTCACCATGCAGGCTTCAGGGCATGGGCCTTTTAAGCCAGCATAATAGCTACTCTTTGGAACCAGTCAGTGACAGACACAGCCATATGGCTGTGAAGCTTCCAGAAGCTCACCCACAGGGTCCTGCATCATTGCCTCTCCCAGGGTGCTTCACATTCCTAGATACACCCAGCCCAGGAAACACAAGCATGCCTGCTTCCCATGAAGGAGGCTAGCTCTGTTGGGATTACAACAAGTGTATGAAGTGCATCCCTGTTACTGCCTCAGGGATGGTGACGATGTGGAGGCTGTGCTTGCTGTTGAGGAATCTGAATTCTGAATCTCACTTGTTTGTCAGTCAAGTCAGTTTCACTACGTTCCTGTGGGGAGGGCTTTGGCTTCCCATCTCACAAGGAAACTGAGGTACAGAGATGTTGAGTAACTTTCCCAAGAACACACAGCTCCAAAATATGGAGCTAGATCCTTGCCCAGATCTGTGTGACTCAGAAGCAAAGGCAGCATTGGTCCTGCTAGCTGTAGTGTGGAGAAGGGCTTCTTTCTGTGGCCCACACTGCCCTAAGTGCACTTGCTCTGGGATCTGCATCCTCTTCCGGTGCTTTCAGTATCTACCCTTTAACACCTGCCCCTCCTATAGGCGCTCCATCAAGGACTGCCTGATTTTTTTCCATATGGGGTCAGATGGCAAATTCTTTTTAAAAATATTTTTAGTTACATTAGAAACAAGCTTGTTTCACATGTAAATCCCAACTCCCTCTCCCTCCCCTCCTCCTCGGCAACCCCCAGCACCCTCACTCAATATCCACTCCGTTCCCCGGGGAGGGTCAGGCCCTCCATGGGGGATCTCCAGAGTCTCATTTCATCCAGGGAAGGGCCTAGGCTCTTCCCCATGTGTCCAGGCTGAGAGAGTATCCTTCCATGTGGGATGGGCACCCAAAGTCCATTTGTATGCCAGGGATAAATACTGATCTACTACCCAAGGCTCCATAGATTGCCTAGGCCTCATCACTGACACCCACATTCAGGGTCCCATGCTGGCCTCACAGCCATCAGTCTGGGGTGAAAGAGCTCCCCCTTGTTCAGGTCAGCTGCAGATGACAAATTCTTTAGGCTTTGGGGTTCAAGGTTTTTTCACAATTGTTCAACTCTGCCCCTGAAAGCACCCATAGAAAGCCTGTGAATGGATGGCCATGGACACATTTTAATAAAACTTCATTGATTAAAATCAAAGTACAGGCAGATTTTAGTCCATGAGCCATAGTTTGACAACTCTGGGTCCATGCTGGGGACACATCTGTCACTGGTGAGAAGGATGATGATACCGTTGGGGGTACTGAGGTCTTCTCACAGGCACTCACCTCTTGGAACTCTAAGTTTGTCCTAGGGACAGGGACATTCTCTCTGTAGTCCAACTGCCTGAGTGCACTCACTGAGCCAGCCTGTGCCCTGCCTTAGGTGCTGAGATCTGCTAATAGAGAGAGATCTGCTATTTGTACAGCAAGAATGAGAACCTGTTTTCAAAAGCTATCAGCTTCGTTACTTTTGGGTGGACAGGTACGTGTATACCTTTTAGGCGGTTACCTTCCTTCTCTGACACCATTCCTGTCATCTGTAAACCAAGTGTAGACCCCTCTGAAAACTGCACCTTTCTGGGAAGCCTTGGACAGAGGTGCTGACACAGCCTGCCTGCATGGTCTTGCCCCACTGGAAAAGCACCATGATACTGTCATTTAAATGTAAAAGTGAAATGTCAGTCAGGTGATCCACCAAGATTATTCAGGGAGAGGATCCATATCAAAATACCTAGAACTAGAGGGGTTTCTCTGGATTTTGGAATATTTTCACGTATGCAATGATCTGTCTTGGGGGTAGGACCTGAGTCTAACCATGAAATTCATACATAATATATGTACATGGTGTACATGTAACCCAAAGGAAATTTTACACAGGCTTTTTAGTGCTGTTGGGTTTTGACTGACATATCACATGAGGTCAGGTGTGGCACTTTCTAGTTGGGGAATCGTGTCAACACACAAACACTTTCTAAGCTGGGAGCACTTAAAATGTTGGGTTTCCTCACCAAGCTTGCTCAGTCTATACTTTGTGATTACACACAGCAGGGCACAAGTGATGCCTTTGGGTCTGGCTATGAGATTCCTTCTGTCATTTCATCTCCATCTTCTCTGGGTCCAATGGTTTGTTTCATTGTGTCTAGCCTTTATTGATTTTTGCTTCCTTTATGATTTGACCAGAGTCTATTTTTAGTCTCCTGGGTGATTTTTAACCTTAAGGCATCCTACCACTGTTTTTCTTCATTCTCTTTACCCAGCCAAACAGAAGCAAAGAGAAAATCCTCTTTCATAAAGACAAGTGGTCGATCACATTGGCTTTTCTTCCTGTGCTGTTCTTTGTCTGTTACTGTTTTCATTTTAGGGATTAGATGTCCCGATTTGCATTTCTGAAAACACTTTTTGCAAGAATTTCTTCTTCTTCTTCTTCTTCTTCTTCTTCTTCTTCTTCTTCTTCTTCTTCTTCTTCTTCTTCTTCTTCTTCTTCTTCTCCTCCTCCTCCTCCTCCTTCTCCTCCTCCTCCTCCTTCTCCTCCTCCTCCTCCTTCTCCTCCTCCTCCTCCTTCTTCTTTGTCTATCGTAGCTCGTTTCTGTGCCAATCGTACTCTAACGAACTGATCAGTTGCTCTGCCATTCAGAACCTGGAGGGCTGTTCCACCATTGCTGAGTGCCTCCCAAGGGCCTGAGAACTTGCATTTCATCCAGGTTTTAGGAGCTGCTATGCCCTGGGGTTGCCACTCTGAGAATCACCCAGACCTCCCAGCCACTCCTCTTCCGTGGCTGCTCAGGACTTCACCGGCACGCCTCTGTTCTCTATACCCAGGTCCTGCCACTCCTGTCTCCCAGGGGAGATCTCTTCCCTGGGTTGAGATCTTGACTTCTGGAGTGAGTTTTGGAAGTGTTTCCAAAAGATCAAAACCAGAGGACTTGCCCAGCCCCTCTGGGGAAAGTTATAGCCAGGCAGAGATTCTTGTCTCTGTTTATTCTCCCCTCCCCCTGGGTTTCTAGAGAAGCCACCTAGACTCATCTCTTGTTATAAAGTCTCCACTCTTCAGGCTTAAGACCAGTGAAGAAACCTAGGTTTTTTTTATTCCTTCTGCCTGAAAGTACCTAGGAGTAAGTTTGTCTCTTCATCCCGGTGTCTACAGAGTCCAGTGGGTGCCTGGTGTGTGTTGACAGCCACCACCTCTTCCTGGGCACTCCTGTGTACCTGGCCCTTTTTGATCCTTGCTGGCTTCCAGGCAGACTGGCAATTCTCATTGTCCCATGTAAAGATGAAGGAACGGAAGCCCTGGGGAGATACCATGATCAGATATAGTGACTGGTACTGGCTGGGCTATGCAAAGGAAGCATGGCATCTCCTGGCCACCCCCGCGTTCTTTGGTGTCAGAGTAGCGGGCACATTTGCTGGGTGAAGGATGAAGGAACAAGTGCCTGTGATGCTAACAGTCCCCGCTGAAGGAAGGAGGCCTTCAGTGCCTGGGGAAGCTGGAGTTAAGAGCAAGGGTGAGGTAACTTTAGGGCTGTGCTGACCCTAGTTAAATCTGGGAATGGCCCTCGAGCAAGGCTGAGGGACAAAGACGTACTGTGCCTGGTTGGAACCTTGTCTTTTGATCCAGCCTGTAGCACCTGAGATGGCTGTTGCAGGGACAAAAGGCAGGTCTGGGGTGGCCCCAGAGTGATCCCTTGTTCTCCTTTCCTCCCCACCCACCCTGCAGCTTCTGCTTTCATCATCGCCATGCTCTTGGCCAGCCTCAACAGCTGCTGCAACCCCTGGATTTACATGCTCTTCACGGGCCACCTCTTCCATGAACTTGTGCAGCGCTTCCTCTGCTGCTCTGCCCGTTACTTGAAGGGCAGCCGGCCCGGAGAGACAAGCATCAGCAAGAAGAGCAACTCATCCACCTTCGTCCTGAGCCGCCGCAGCTCCAGCCAGAAGAGCTGCTCTCAGCCATCTTCAGCGTGAGCCATCTGCCTGGCCCACGGCTCCTGAGGCAGGGGTTATGCGGACTCCAGTATGCCCCCTGGTGGCCTTGCATGGAGCTGTATAAGGTGCCTATTGGTGTGTCTCCCTCCACTCCTTGGGGTGGCTAGAGCATGGAGCATATTCTGACGTGGGGTTGTGGAAATGTCTCTGTGGAAGATGACAGTCACTCAGCCATCAGAGGGTTGCCTAGGCTCCCACCTGTGTTTCTACTACCCCAGCTGGAGTGCTTCTGGGTGGGGGGTGAGCTCTCCTGAACCTGGCTTTCATTCCATTATTATTATTATTATTATTTCTTCTCGTTCATCCTGGGATCTTGTGAAAGGCAGTAAGCCATGCATTGGTGAACAGTTATGTGAGGAAACACAGTGGGCTGGGACAAGGAATGGGAAATGAGGCCAGAGGTGCAGAGTGGTGCTGATTTCCTTGCGACTGAAGTTATGTGGACAGATCCTAGCATCCTCAGGGACCAGCCTGTCCCAGGAAAACAGTGGGAACTAGAGACTGAACCACGAGGCCATCTGGCCCAGGAAGGCAATGAGAACACAGATTGAAATGTTGAAGAAGCTGATGCTTGGTACACATCTGGGAAGGAAAAGGAAATGAGAGCCACCCAGATAGGGAGAACTGCATATGACACTGACCCATGCCTATGAGATCCTAAGGAACACACACATGTATATGTGTACATGCACACACATGCAAGTAGCTCCCTTCACACTCTGGTCTGACAGGTGAATAGCAAGGTTGCAGAGTTCCAGACCAGATCAATGTACAAAAATCATTCACATCTCCCTACATGTCTGGTGAACAATGGGAAAGTGAACTTTAGAGATTCCATCCATAAACATGCCAGAATGACTAAGGGAGGGCCAGGGTTAACAGAGGAAAAGTATGACTTGTGCCCTGAAAACTGCAAACACCATGGATGGAAATTAAAGGAGACTAAATAAATGGGAACACCTTGTGTTTATGGATCAGAGACGTAATATTGTTGGACAGATTTGAAGTAATCCTCATCAAAATCCTAGCTGGCTTCTGCAGAAATTGATAAACTAATCCTAAAATTCCCAAGGAGATGGGAATTGGGGTGGTTAAAATGCTTTGGGATGTGTGGTGGGTGCACAATTTTGAGACCATATTAAAAATCACTGAACCAGGGCCAGAGGAGACAGCTCACTTCAAGAAGTCTCTGCTGAGCAAGTATGAGATGCCCATCATCCATGCAGAAGTCAGGCTTGGTGGCACATGTTTGTAACCTCAGCCCTGGGCGTGAAGACAGGTGGATCCCAGACACTTGCTGGCCAGCCAGTCTAGGAGATTGGTTGACTTCGGGTAAGCAAAAGACTCTCTCTCAAAGTAAGTAAGTAAATAAAAAATAAGGTAGAGAGTGATGGAGGAAGACACCTGAAGTCGACCTTTGGTCTCTACATGTACATGTAGATGTACAGCATACACACACTCACATGTAAGCAGGCAGACAGACAGACAGACAGACAGACACACACACACACACAACCCACTGAACTGTATACTTAAAAATGTGAGAAGAAGGAAGCTCAAGATCTGAGTTCTGGGAAAACCAAAATGATGGATGCATTTCTTGGTCTCTCTTCCTCGAGTGCTGTTTCTCCTGTGACTCACCACCTCCAAGTGTCTGCAGGAGAGGCTGGCTCTATTCCGGCTGGTGAAAGTGGTGATCACTCCCATCTGGCTTTAACACAGGCCCGAGGGATGCTCTGCAGCAGCCATATCCTATCTTCTTCAGAACGGCAATTCCCCAGGAGTCTCAAAGGTTTTATTTATCCAGTAAGTATGATTTCAAATGTCCTCTCAGCCTTGAGGGCAGGATATGGCTCTGTCTCAGAAATACCTTCAGTCATTAACACAGGACACAATTGACTAGTGGCTTTCTGTCTGTGGCTGGTCACTATGCACTCTGGAGCACCTTGGAAATACCCAGACTTGATTCTGGACTTACTGAGATATATCAAGGGCACTTCCAAAAAGCCTCAAATCTGCAGATCCACTTTACCCACTGCTCCTGTTTCTGAACACATTTTCTTCTGCCACACTGCAGGATTTGCCCCAACCCATACATGTACCCACATGCACACATGGGTTTGGGCTGGCACAGTCTGGTGTTTGGGGAGGAGAGAGCCATGTGCTGCAGTTCAACATCCACAATTTACGGCAAGCTCATTGTCACCAGCTGGAGACAGGAGGCAACGTCATTTTTCTTTGGACTCAAGAGCATTGCACAGTGGTCCACCTCATGCACGCAGTGTCACCACCAGCTAGTTCTTTGACAAGCTAGCAGGATTCTGCTTTGCAGCATCTGTGCCTGTGTTCTAGACCACCCAGGTAGCCTGGGTGCACACATGGCAGTAGGGTGGGGGTCTGGTAGCATCTGTGTCTTGAAGATGTCCTTTGTCCCTGCTGTTTACTGAGAAGCTGCCATCTTAGAATCAACAGGTGTCACCAGGAGTCAAGGGGACAGTAACTCAGATATTCTGACAGGGGTACTGTGTTCTTGAGAGGCCTAGAAGTGTAAAGTTTTAGACATCAAAACCGACTAGAGTGCTGTGTCATTCTGTGTGATAGCTCTAGCTGGTACCTTGGGTCTTGTTATGGTCCTGACACCTGCATCGGTGACATAAATGACAATTGACTTAATCAGCAACATTGGATTGGCACCTCCCGTCCAATCTTACAGAATATTTTAACCATTTATTGTTATCCCTTCACCAAAAGTCTAAAATCTAGGGGTCTAAAACAACTCCCTCAATCCTGTGTCCTATTTCCTCCTTCCTCAGACCCCACACTTGACATTCCCAATGCCCCTTCCTATTTCCCAACCTGTTTACAATCCATGTTCAGGGCTGGAGGTTGTATTAAATTGAAGCATGCTGAATGTTCTGGAATGTTTCATTGTTCTGACCAGAGGAGTCAGTGTGCAAACTGTGAGAGTGATTTAGGCCCTATTACTCCCCTCCCCCAATCTACATTTTAAAATCTGTGGTCTCCTTTTGGTACAAAAGAGCCTACCTGGACTATGACCCTGGCTTCAGCATGTAACTGTTTTGTATTCAGTTGCAACGAGATGCCACTTGGCACACAGTGTGAATTCCTTGGTATTGTTATTCCATGGACTTGTGTGGTGCCTCCATGTCCCCGCATCCGGTGAGTGATGTGGCCAATCCTGCTTTACCAGCTGCTTCATAAAAGGTGCACTTAATAAACATTTTTCTGTATATTTCTTTGCCTTTTCCTCCCTTCCAAGAACAATGACCTCTCATATTAATTCTCCGGCAGGCTCCAGGGTCATCTTTCTGCTGCTGATGTCTGCATGGGCTGTGGCATGAGTCAGAAGGGGGACTTGACATTATTCTCTGGAGTCCTACGTGTGCTCATTTGTCTGTGGAAAGATGCAAGGATCTTGAACCAAACCCCTTGTGGGATTTGTCAAGCCCAGCTATGTGCTGTGGTCTAACTGGAGATTTGGGATTCTTTGGTGTCACCTCAAAGGGACCATGTTCCCAGTGGGGAACGTGTGTGTGGAAAGCAATCTGGAAAGTGGATTGCTAAGGTTTGGTGTGTGTTTATTCTCTGGGGAGACAAAGAGGTGTTGGGAGTTTACTGTTATTTTCACAGCTAGCCCAGATACATCCACCCTGGGCCTCAGGTACTCATGGTGTCTATTAAGGCTGATGACTCATATATGCCACATGACAGAACCAGGTATGCTCTGGGCTCAGTGTCTTCTGAGCCAGATGGGAAATTCTAAGAGGTTTGAGATTGGGCCTGTCTGGGGATGTTCACCTCCACCTGCCCTGAGTACTCATTAGCAGCTTCAGGGCAGCAGAAGTCACGTGAAAACAATCTCTTCATATGGGAGACCCCCCCATGCCCAGCAAACAAGCAGAACCCCAAAGAAAACAAAACTTGGTGCTGGCTTTCAATTCCCCTAGAGGTCCAACTGAATTTTCTAGGTTTCAGAACCAGAAAAGGACACACAACCAACTCACGGACAAACAAAGCATGATGTTCCCCGGTGTAGCCGAAACCCTTTATTGCAGCACCCTCCTCGTAACCACAGTCACTGCTTGCTCTCTCTTGCATGACGAGCCAGGTCACCCTCTAGGGCACTGGGCTGGTTTGTGGTATTACAGTACATGTGAACAACGCAAAGCCTTGCGGTAGCTGCCTCTTAACAAACCATCTGCCCTCAGGCAGGCTCACTGGGGATCATGGTGGGCTGAGCAGAGCAATGGTGCCTGTGTTTCCACTCGGGGACTAGCTCCCCTGTCCTGTGTGTTCCTATCTTGAGGCGAAATTGAAAGGACCCTCAAAAGCATGAGCTCTCCGGCAACTCGCTCACGTGGAGCAGAGCCGCGGTGCTCACCTGGCCTAACTCCCCCCGCCCGGCCTTCCCCACAGGGCAGCCTGGTTTTAGCCTTCCCTCCGCAGCACCACCTTGATGTTGCTGCAGACCTGGCCCAGAGCAGCAAAGAGCGGGTTGCAGAAGGTGCGGATACACAGTGAGTAGATGTGGCTGATACACTGGATCTCGATCAGGTAGCTCTTAATGCAGGGCACCACAGCCCAGATGTGGCAGAAGGAGATGCAGGCGAACAGGAAGCCCCAGATCAGGGCCAGCGGCACACCCAGCAGTGTAGACAGCAGGCGGTAGCACCAGTACTTGGAGACGGTGAAAGTGGTGTAGCTCACCTTCCACACACCATCGAAGCTGTAGGTGCCCTCAGGCTCTGCAATCACATCTTCAAAATCTACCTGCAGGAGTCAGAAGGGGACAGCTCAACTCACAGCATATATGGGCTTTTCTGATGTTTGCATACCTGAATCAGAAACACTGGGAGTGAAGTCAGACGGTTTAGCAGCTAAGAGCATCTGTTGCTCTTGCAGAAGATCTGGGTTTGGTGACCAGCATCCACATGGTGTCTTACAATCACCCATAACTCCAGTTCCAGGGGATCTGACACTGTCTTCTGAATTTCATGTGCCCTAGGCATGCACATAGTGCATGTATTCATACACCAAGGCAAAAGATTAAAAAAAAGAAACTGGGATGTCTGTCAGTGGGTCTTGGACTGTATCTCTGGTTGTCCAATATGGATGATAATGTGGGTCCCCAGTCCTGCCAAATTGCTACATACTACAGGTACAAGGTACTCTGAAGCCTGTCCAGCCTCCTCATTCTATGCTTGGGTAAAAGGATGCCCAGAAGTTGAGTAGCTTGTTTAATATGGCAGTGCCAGAGTCACAGTGCCTGTTGCAGTTTGGATCTGCAATGTTCCCCCAAAGGCTTGCTCCCCAAGATGGTACCCCTGGCAGATATAGTACCTACCATTAAGAAGTGGGATCTAGAAGGAGGAAGTTAGGGTATTTGAAACATGCCCTGGAGGGGACACTGAGAGCCCTGCTCTCCTCCATTCTTCTTACTCCCTGGCCATCAGGGGCTGTTTGGCTCCATCATGTACTCCTGCCATGATGTACCTGCCTTACCCCTGGACTGAAAGCAACCAATTGACTGAGGACATGCTGGCTATGCTGCAGCCCTCAGGGACAGTGACCACTCCCAGTGAGATCTGGTCCTTGGTAGCCAAAAATAAACCTATTCCAAGACAGCTCTGGATCTTTATCTTTACCACACACCCAGATCTGAGAGTCATCAATCACTTTAGCTTAGCCTGCTCCTTTATTTCAGCAACTTCCCCCATTTGACACACTCTTCCTGTTTGTGTCTGGCTCTAAAGTGACTGTTGTGCCTTGGACCCTGTGTAGCTGCTTCAATCAAGTTATTGACTTTTTCTGGGTTGCATTTTCCTTGCCATGTTTTATAGGAGTTGTCAGAGAATTAAGTGAATTGAGACATCTACAATCTCAGAACACTGGCTGGCACTGAGTGGCGGGGTTAGGAATGGCTGGCTGCTGCTGGAATTTGGATCTGAAATGTCCTCTAATGGAGCACGTGGTAGAGCCTTGGTCCCAGGGTGGCACTGCCGAGAGACCAAACCTTTGAGTTGGTGCCTAGCAGAAGGTTGTTAGACCATAGATGGTATGACTTTAAGGAGAACTTTGTCCCTTCCTCCTTATCTTTCATTTCCCAACCATGACGGGAATAGCTTGCTCCAACATGGACTGTCTCATCATAGACTCAAAGCAATGCGGGCCCTCTGTCATGGACTGAGATCTCTAAAATTATGAATCAAAACCAACCTGTACTCTTCATAAGTTGGACATCTTGGGTATTTGGTACACAGAAACGGACTGAACAGCTTTTTCTGGAGGTGGAGGCTGTAGCAGAGTATGTTCCTCAATAAAGAGTTAGCCATATCTGTAATCCCAACCCCAGGGAGGCTGAGACAGGAGAATTGCTGTAAGTTTAATGAATGCCTGGACTGCATAGTGAGTTGCAAGTTAGTCTGTCTATAGTATAAGATCCTATCTCAAACAAACAAACAAACACCAGCCAAGAACCAAAATAATCCTAGCAATCTAGGGTCCAAAGGTGGTCTTGCATGTCAGTGTAGCTGGGACTGGATGGGTGGGTTTGATGTGGCTATCTGTCTATCATCTATCTACCCATCTCACTATCCACTATCCATTCTCTCATCCATCTTCTACCCACTCACTCATCTACCTACTTCTTTATCTCTGTCAACTCATTCATTTTCCTCCCTATTTGTCTATCCACATATCCACCATTCTTTCTTCATATCTATCCATTGCCCATCTGTTCATCCTCAGAAACAAATACTTAGAGAGCACCCAGGGCTCACTACTCAATATCTACCACATGGTAGATGCTCATTAATGATAAGTACTTGTTCAAATGCTCTATACAATATGTCTCAGAAGTTCTGCTGACATTCCAAATCACGAATAGAAGAATTCTCCAGATGACCCCATCATACTGTGTGTACCTCTCGTGGACAGTTAATAATAAATGGAATTCTTTCTATCTTTTTCTGCTAATCCCTTCCATGAAGATCTCTCTGTTGTGTCTTTTAATTGCTATTTCTTCCCAGAAACCATTGGCACCCTCACTTGAGTTATTGCCTGGGATCATCTTTGAGGGCTGAATGTGTGGCACTTGTCTTTTTTCTTTGAAACAGCAACATGCTGTTGAAGGACTGTATTGAAAGGAGGCAGCTGCTCCCCTAAATTGAATCTGAGACCCAAGAGTGCTCTGGTCATAAATGCTGGTTTGGTGAGCCATTCATAAAAGTCATTCATAAGAGTCACTCAGCAGGTCTAGGTGTTTATGCCAGTGCATCAAGCACACTGTGACTTCATTTACTATTTGTTTTCTAGTAGTGGAATGAAGAGGCTTTTTCTTGCAGAGTTGAGGAAGCCTCAGAGCCAACTATATAGCTGGAGGGTGGGAAGGGAAGACGGGTGCTATTTCAGCCCGTGTCTACTTCTCTGACATAGTTATTTTTGGAGCATCAAGAAAGCCAACTGGCCAGTTGGTCAATTGGCATAGGCCTGAATAGCCCCAGCAGTCACTGAGAGGGTTGGGAAGTTGTAGGAACACTGGGTTGCCTAAGGATGACGGGGGTGGCAGAGGAGGACAGCATCTACTCCTGTCAAAATTCTGCCTCCACCCTGAATTCCACATGACTCAGTCCTTGGTCATCCTGTCAGGACAATTCAGGTAAGATATCTAGGAGTAGGGGAGGTAGTGCTGGGATTCCAGCTTCCACTTGGCTGTTGGGTTATTGTGTGATTGAAGGTGCCACAATTTTTCTCTTTGAGAGTCTAGTTATTTGCTGTGTTGAACTCTACAAGAGAGGACCAATACAGTCCTCAGCATAGCATCAGCCTGAGACTCAGAAGATAGGAGCAAGTAGCTTAGCTTACTTGTTGTCTCACTATGTGAGGGGTGGCCACTCAGTCCCAGGAGGTCAGTACAGACGCTGAGCTCGTGTTAGAAATAGTCATAGAGATTTGATGTGGTTGTTTTATTACTACTGAATAATGTTAATGAGGATTTATACTATATAGTCACTTTTCATTTCATTTCTATGATCATTAATTTTTACTGTGTCTTACAAAAGTATTTCTGTACAAAAGACTGGGATGATTACAGTAGGATTGACCTCTTACCCACATGGTCTGAAAAGTACTGATGTGTAAAATCACAAGGTAAAATAAGATGGTAGCTTCAAAAAAGTTTTAAAAGATGGATGAGATTTACTTCTTTTGTTATAAATGATGTTAGCAGATTTC